GGTTCAATAAATTGTCAAATTCGATTTGAAAATTTGAAAACTGATACTACCATATATATATGCACCAAAGTGAAAGATTTGTTACTTAACAGACATGCAATGATAGATCTTGGTATAATTCATCCAGATTTTCCGAAACCATTGTCATTTGTGAAATCAATATATTCTTTGAGATACAGTGAAACTGACTCAGAACCCACAAAAACTCAATGCGAAGATATTAGACAACAACTGATAAACAAATACAGAGATGTATTTTATTCCGATATGGTCTTCTGAAAACAATGAAGGGTAATCCAGTCCATATTCATCTTAAAGATGGAGCAATTCCATATGCCATAACATGTCCAAGAAAAATACCTTTTGTTTGGAGACAAAACGTCAAGGATGAACTTGACGATATGACAAATAAAGGTATAATTCAACCAGCTAACGATACACCAACAAGTTTTGTGAGCCCACTAGTAGTTGTACAAAAACCGAATGGGAAAATACGAATCTGTGTTGATTTCACAAAGTTAAATTTGTATGTGAAGAGACCCATTCACCCATTTCAATCACCATGGGATGCAGTTTCGAATGTAGATAGGAAATCCAGATACTTCACTACTTTGGATGCAGCTTCGGGCTACTGGCAATTGGAATTAGATGAACAGAGTCGAAAATTAACGACTTTCCTCACACCTTGGGGGCGTTATCAGTTTTTACGTACACCAATGGGCTTGGTAAGTTCTGGAGACGAATATTGCCGAAGAGGTGATGAAGCTCTTTCAGGCATTGGAAATATAGAGAAAGTAGTCGATGACATCCTTATGCATGATGAGACATTCAAAGATCATTATCATCATGTTTTAGAGGTACTCGAGAGATGTCGATCCAAAGGAATTACACTCAATCCAACTAAATTCATTTTCGCAAAATCAGAGATCGATTATGTCGGATATAAACTCAGTGAAGAAGGAATCAGAGCAGATCCCAGAAAAGTTGAGAGTATTCAAAAATTCCCCACTCCGACGAACCTCACAGAATTGAGATCTTTTATGGGTTGGGTCAACCAATTGGGATCGTTTTCGGCTGAAATAAGTTTGAATGCTGCTCCTTTGAGAAGTTTATTGAAAAAGAAAAATGAGTTTTTATGGAGTGCCACTCATGATAGTGCATTCAAAAATGTACGAAATGCTCTTGTTGATCCACCAATACTCGCTCATTTCGATCCATCTCTACTAACTGCTCTTCACACTGATGCTTCACGATTGAATGGACTCTGTTATGTTTTATTGCAAAAACATAAAGATGTGTGGAAATTGGTACAGTGTGGATCGAGGTTTTTATCAGAAACTGAGTCTAGATACGCTATGATAGAAATAGAACTCTTAGGTATCACTTGGGCTGTCATCAAATGTAGAATTCATCTATTGGGACTAGAATCATTCAATATAGTAACAGATCATAAGTCTCTCATACCAATTCTCAATGTACAAACCCTGGATGCAATTGAAAATCCACGCATACAACGTTTGAAAGAGAAATTGGCGGGTTATAATTTTGTTGCTGAGTGGAGAAGGGGAAAGGATCATCAGATGCCAGACGCCCTGTCTCGTAACCCGACTAAGAACCCAGTTGAAGAGGATTTGTTGGCAGAGGATTCTGCAAAACAGTTTAAATCATTAATTATTGATCAGATATCAATAGCAGATGGTACAGAAGATAGCATCAAGTCATGTCATCTTAAGGATAAGGATTCAATGATTGTTGCACTGAAGAATATTGCCATAGATGACATCGAATACCAAGGGTTGAAAAATGGAATTGAAAAAGGTTTTCCTCTATCTAAAAATAAATTGAAATAAATTCTGAAGCCATATTGGAATTATAAAGATGAACTGAGTTGTGACGACGATTTAGTACTGAAGGGATGCCAGATCGTGATTCCGAAAAAGGCACGAAAAATGGTACTTGCACGTCTTTATGATTCACATCAAGGCATTGAAAGGACAATTCGAAGAGCTCGTTAGACAGTTTTTTGGCCTTCAATGTCAAGTGATATAAAAAACATTGTGGATAATTGTGAGATTTGTCAAAAGGTGAGGCCTTCCTTGGCAAAAGAAACTCTCATTTCGGATCCATTACCTGATAGACCATTCCAAGACGTTTCCGCTGATTTGTTCCATTGTGCTGGCAAGCATTATATGGTGTACGTGGATAGATTATCAGGATGGCCTGTCATTTGTCATTATGGTACCAAAGATCCGACTAGTTCAAGAATACTCCATGACCTACGGAAGATATTCTCCGATACTGGGGTACCCATTCGGTTTCGTTCGGATAATGGACCTCAGTTCGCTTCACATGAGTTCCAAACATTCTTGAGGAAATGGAATGTAGGTTTCAGTCCCTCTACTCCCTACTATCCACAGAGTAATGGGCATGCTGAGGCGAATGTTGAAGCTATGAAAAGCCTGCTCGCAAAATGCTATGAAAATGGAAAACTGAACGAAGACATATATTGTGCTGGCCGCAGCTGGCCTACTCGAATGGAGGAATACACCGAGAGTAGATGGTCGTTCTCCTTCTCAAGTATTATTTGGTCATCCTCTCAGGTCTTTAGTCCCAGCTCATTCGAAGTCATTTGCTCCAGAATGGCAAAAAGCAGCAGAAGAATGTGACCTCAGATTAGCAAAATGTAGAGAAAAGGTACACGCTCAGTACAATGAACGATCAAAAATCTTGGATCCAATCGAAGTAGGACGTACAGTGCGTTTGCAAAATCCAATTAACAAACTCTGGGATACGGTAGGAACTATTGCAGAAGTTGGAGATAAGCGAAACTACAAGATCAAGATGCCGAGTGGTCGAATCCTAGTAAGAAATCGAAGGTTCTTACGGCAGATTTCTGGAGGGGCGGAGGAGAAAGAAGATTGTTAATAGATTGTTAGTTTTGAGGGGAGATGTTCTATATCACTCTGTGTATAGGATATTTCAAGATGACAGATATAGAATAGATGTCAATGTTATGTAACTTTAGATAAATAATAAAGTTGATTCAGAGTATTAACTTAGTTATCGAACACTGTCATCATAACGTGATAATACATTTTGTTTTCGGTTTGTATTGGTCATTTTTGGTTGTGTGTTTAGATTTGAACATTTATTCTTGTCAAAATTAGAGGACTCCTTGATGCAGAACTCGTTGGTGATCTCGAATTTGATAATTACGACTCATCGGCATATTTCGAGTTTAGTTTGGTTAACGTACGTTGATATTTAAGGTATACGTGAAGGAACGTGAGAAAACGTACACCCGTAAGCCCACTAACAACGCAAACGTGAAGAATTGGAAAATGCGCATGCGTAGCTGTCAATTTCTACGTTTACGTTAACGTTCATGACAACACTTCAACTCTCTATTATCTCTGGCCCAACTCTTCCAATCCTTGTGAAAATTTCGTATTCCGCATAGTTCCGAAGGTCTTAAATAATGCTAACAGATATTCCCAGTTAAAGTTCAATATCATTATAATAAAAAATTTAGTTGACAGTGGAAACAGGGGCAGAACTTCAAATCAATGTTCAATATGACGCCCACCTTCATATCGATACAAATGTCAATTCCCTTGTTTCCACTGCCACCTAACTTTGTATTACAATTTTATCAAACTTTACTAGAAATATCTGTTAGCATTATACAAGGTGGGCCAAAAGAAGTCATCCGATGTTATTTGGCTCACATTTTTTTTCTGAATGGAAAGCTTCGATTCTGTTTTTTGATTATGTTTATTTGAACCTTTAGAATTTTATTGGTCAAGTCGAGAAGATGATATCGGCCAAATGGGCGCCGCCACAATTGATATTGCTATATTTATGGCATTTTTAATCACTTCGGCGAGATCTTCGGGCGACAGATTCCAGCACTCGTGTCGAATGTTGTCCTTGAGGGCTTCCAGGGTCTCAGGCTTGTTCACGTAAACACAAGACTTCAAAAAACCCACAAAAAAAGTCAGAATCTTATATGTATTTTTCCCATTCTCGTGTAGATTGAATATCTAATTTTGTGGATACGATATAAATAATTATCCCAGAGCTCGGTTTTTCCCTCCAACTGACTCAAGCAACGCATGTGTTTCGATACGGTATCAATAAATTTTCGAATTTCCTGTGCAGATTCTTTCGAAATGGGAGCTATTGAGCAGATAGATCCTAAGTGGTTATGAACCAATAAACGAGTATTATTGTATCTATATCTTAGTGCTTGGTAAGCGTTTTCATATTTTGTCTCTGAGAAATCTAAAGAACGCAAGATTTCTGTGGCTTCACCCTGTAATTCTCTCAAATAATAGAATTTCTTCTGTACATAAGTACTGCTAATATTTTGATGAATCAATGAATCGTAGGTATCCCTGAACTCGAGCCAACCCTCGTAATTTCCGTTGAATTTTGGCAATTCAATAACCGGTAGTTTTATACCCTTCAATCTATTGTCGAAATTGCCCAACCCTGATGCTGAAGTTACTCTACTACGCACTGAATACCGTGCTGTGCTAACTGAATCTATATCAACATTGTTTAGAATGTTTTTACAGAAATCTATTTGTCTGAGACATCAAAGAATCAGCTGAATAGTCAAAATTTGAACGTTTATTATATTGTTTATCAACATCTGGGGCTAAACATTCAATTTCGCACTGTATCAAGGCGAATTCATCACAATTTTGTTCAAGCTTAACAATTTTACGTTGTAATTCTAAAATCTCAACATCTGGACCTAGAACTGCGTTATTTCACTTGATGATGATCACTGTTCCTTCACTTGGATGGTTCACTTTTTATCCGGTTCGATTGGACCAATGTTTTTATTAGTGGACTGTAATGTCTTTTTTGTATTAGCTATTTAAAGCACAGTATATCATCCTTTCATAGCATATACTATGCTTAAAGCTTACTCAATTGAATAGCTACTAACAGCTTGATTTGTATCACTCAGCTACTGAAAGCTTATTCGAATGAAATAGCTACCGAAGGCTTAATGAGTCTTTATTGACTTTTATAACACAAAACTGTAATCAGTATATAAAATTGGTACAAGAAATGTCGCAAGAACAGGTGAAGAAAAACACCGCCTCTCTTGTCGACTTGTCAATCTGTTCTCAATTGTTGCGTCTGACGTCTGGTACTCGACCCTTTTTCCTCCCCTTATTGGCGCGTGGTACTTTCACCACAATCCCGTCCGAAAAGTTGCATAAGGATAGTCTGATAGATAGTATGGAATGCGGTGTTGCCGATTTCACTAGAAAGTCTGAGCTAATGGAAAGTACATTACGTTGTAGAACTCACGCCAAATGGTAGGATGTGTACCTTTCTACAAATGATGAATTTATAGGAAGGTGTAAGGAATGGATAGAAAAAAAAGTTGGCATAAAGGCATCCCTAGAATGATCAAGAGTAGAACTCGACTAATCGTTTCTAGGAGTTGTCATTGCCAAAATGAAAATTCATGAAGGAATTTTGTAGAATTTTGACATTTTGAATACCGAATCTATATCATCTACTGGGTGTTGTCAATGAATAAGTGCGAAAGAGAGTTCATACAAACATGTATCGTTTATTATTACAAAAAAAATCATGAATTTCACAAAAATCAAAATTAATGAAAATGTCTTGTTCTTCAATATGAAATAGGAACATTTTCACATTTTATTAATAACTACCACTTGAAATATCAGTTATATAAAATATATTCAATTTTTTCAACATCTTGACTCAAATATAATGATGTATTTATGGGGAAAAAACGATCTTATGACAAAATTTTATGAGATATTTCAGAATCTCTAAACATTTCTCAGGACCAATTCAATGAATACTGAGTCCAAGATGTGAAGAAAGAAATATCTACGAGGGAGAAACAACTCTTTAAATAGGTGTACACCATGGAATTTCAAATATTTCAATATCATTTTATGAGAACTTCAGTATTAAAATGAGTCGTATTTTATCTTCAAGTATCTCTAGTGTACCGATTTCAGTACTTCAAGTATCTGTTCAAAACATGATTACTGAAAATAGTTACTTATTTAAACAACTAGTGTATTAATGAGGGCGATTAATATTCGAGACCATTAATCGCCTTATACGAGTTGGTTACAAACATTTTCTCTCGACTATATTTTTCCTACAATGAAGAAAACTATTCGCAAATTCATCATTCATCCGGAAACTACTAACAATAACCCAGTAGCCCTGAAAGTGAACTTATCACTGACATTGACATTTGACGAAATAATCTATCATGAAAAATAATAGTTATCTATGTATCAAGGGCCTAAAATAGGCTTTCATGGACCTTAGCCACAGCGAGAGCTATTAACACGCCTATAGGTCCATGAAAGCAAGTTACGCCCGATATACATAGGTAAAACATTTAAAAATACATCATGGCTGCAGTGACGAATATCATTATGATATGAAATCAACGTTACCATGGTAACTCAGTAATTTTTTTGAAATAGGACTAGACCATTATTTGCTGTGGATGTATGCCATCACAGATATCTTATTTTGGGTTCGATCATACCATTTAACATGTTGGCTGTTGCCCAAGCGGTCCGGGTTCGATCCCCGGCGCGAGCACTGAATTAATTTTCGGTAGTTTCGTTGGGCGGGAGGAGATAGGTGGCCAACCCAACATTCTTGGTACCTAGATATCAATCCTTTGGACTGTCCACGGTTACCAGCCGAGTAGTGCTTCGGATGACACTTAAAAAGCTAAGGTCCCCGTCTTCTTAACTCACACAAGTCTCTGACTTTCGAGGGTTGCTTTGCAACTAAGCTGGCGGTTAAAAACACTTTTTTTTTTTAAACATCTCAGAAATATCAAGAGAACTGTGATATTAAATGCGATTAAACCATCACAACTGAAACATAGCTGTTCTGAATTATATACAGGAATGATTATTACCAGCTACGTATACGCCAAGCGATAAAGAAGTCCGCTGCAGTGCTCATTTGCAAAACCGGGTGGTAAATTGCTACTTTACGTCCAGTCGTGCATAAATTCCTTTTTTCCACCACTATCTATATAACCTACCATTACCTACTCCTTTTCGAGGCGTAAAATGTGTTTTTATTACCAAGGTAGTTTTCGTAATTTTATGAAACCTCTGCTTTAATTAACCCGAATGCACTGCTCTGATATTCGCAGGAATAGCACTCGAATCTAGATAGGTTTTTATCAATAACGACTTGTCATACGCTATCATTCAAAACTAAGTATTGAAAATAAGTGCTGTCATAGTGACAATAGGTCCATATTTCGGTTTCACATAACTAAAATGATTGAAATATATTGCTAGTGGTGAAAAAAATTCAATATTAACCTTGGTAGTAACGAATATTATTACCACGGCAACTTATACCCCTCGGCTGAAGCCTCGGGAAATATTGGTCCCTGGGAAATAATGAAATTCTTTACTAAAAGCTAACCCGTTAACGTAAATTCTTCGTATGTAATGAAACAACTGTATTGATGATTATCGAAATACAAATCCCTTCGATTTTGAGAAAAGAATTATGTTGCTTGGAAACGACACGCGTTGTATGTTTGGTTGCATATGCCACAATAGAGATGTATAGAAATTTAACTGGTGCGCTTGCTCCCTATTGAAGGTCGTTTGCAAGTTTCTCGATGGCGCCTACTCTGATAAACCTTTGATAAACATACTTGACGTGGGTAAATCTCGCTAAGCTCATCCTGGTTACAATCCATATTTACAGGAAACATATTACCAACCGATAAATATTTGGATACGTATATGATTTGGATCAGAGCAGTGAACTGATTCCTGATCAAAGGATCGAAACGTCAATATGTCAAAAATATTCTTGAGCTGAAAAAATGGTTATTTCTGAGATTGGGGTCAAGTGTTCGTTAGGGACGTGTTCCGTAGTTTCTAAATTTTGTGTATAATACCTAATCCACCATAGAAAAAAGAAAATCTGTTCTACAACAGTATTATTTCAGTGATTTGAAATATTAGCGTGAACTGGTGTGAATAAATTCTAAGGTGAGTACGAGTTACCACATCTGCCTATTATGATTTTCGATATTGGTCTATTTCAATAGTTGATACATTCTTTGTTCTGGCTCTCCAAAGAGGAAATTCATCAGATTTCATGCTTTAAATAGGTTCATGTCATGAAAGAAGTAAAGCTTATTAAAATCGGCTACAAAAAAGATTTCTTGCTTCTATTTCAAATTGTAATTTGAATGAAAATGTTGAGCACAGTATTTATTCGACCACAGAACAATGATGGAAATAGATTCATCCCTCACAGAACCAAGGTTTTGAACGATTTTTCGATTATGGCGCCTCTATCGCAAATACCTGAACCCCACGTCCAAAACTCGCTTGCAATTGTTCCATATCGAGAGTTAGTCTGACGAAACAATTGAAGAACATCTCTGCCACAATCATCCATTGATAGACAAATGGATCATTTATAGGGGTCAATAAAGATCAATTTCATGAACATTAAACATACCCGACTCTTCCCAAGTACATGTTGTAGTAAGCACGCGTTATTAACACGCTTGGTATGTATGTATGTAAGGTGATTTTGAACCACTTCAAAAAGTCGAAATAAGTTGAAACTTCGCACACTTATCATATCAAGGACCGATGACAGTAGCATAATCTAATAGTTTTGTTCCATTCCTGATCAGGATATTCAGGATGAGCGATTTTTCTCGAATAAAATCTCAAATGTTTCGCTATCAAAATTCCAAAAGTTCGTTTTTACTACTTCGAATATCTTTGTACACGGCAGTGTCTTGCATCAAGTATTCGTATAAATAGTTACATCCAGAGACGGGAAATTTTCACCCACTTCAGCACGTCGAACCAAGTTGAAACTTGGCACAATTAGCAGCATAGTTTTTTTTTTAATCCAAAGAGACGGTAGTGTCTTGCACAAAGTACTCGTATGTAATGAAGTTTCCGGAGACAGAATTTCGTTACTGACAAACAGTATGATCCGTGATTCATTCCTTTAAATAAATACAAATGCACCATGGAACCATGTTTTCAGATCCATAATGAGTTTTTTGATTTTACTTTAATTTCGAACCAATCAGAATTTCTAACAAAACAATTGCGCACAATCGACGACAATCGGAGGACCTAGTAGCCCTCACTTCATAAAGCACACTTTAAGAAGTATGTTAGTCTGAGATGCCCAAGTTTCACAGCTATGTTAAGTAGGTACAAATATACTGTTACCTTATCTGGGGCTAAACTTAACGTTACAGGATATAGTCTTTATGATGTAAGGATGTATCATAAATTGATATTCATCATACAGGACGTGGAAAAAAAAACAAATGCCCAGATAATAATAATAATAATAATAATAATAAACGGCTTTATTCATAGGAATGAAAAGGCGAGGTGTCACTTTACAGTGTTTTTCAACTTTGCCTTAAAAATATGTGAATATAAAAAAGATAATGTAAATACATATGAGAAACTGAGAAGAAAACAAAATGAGAAAAGTAGTAGAGTCCAGCTTAAACTAGTCCTACTCAAAACTAATAGTTACTATAATGTGTACAGTATAATATGAGCATTAAAACGATTTCTTACAATTATTGCCATCACATATAAACATATTGTCTCAAGCTAAATCATAGATGATATTCATCAACAACAATGTATATATATATATACACCTATAATATACACATACATATACATACACGTATACACACACATATACATAATACAGTACAATAAAAGAGAGAAACCTGACTCAAATACCATAAACAAATGCTGTGGGCGTCACTGAAGAAACATGGCTTCAAGAAGAGACATTTTGAGTTTTTTTTTTGAAGTTTAAAATGGAATAATCTTTGAAATGTGTTGGTAATGAATTATAAAATTTTGTGGCATTATAGGAAAAGCTGCGCTTGAAAATAGCAGAGGAGTGTTGTGGGACAACTAGGACACGTCTATTTCTTGTAGGGATGTTATTAATATTTTCAAATTGAGTCAATTTTTTCCTCAGATATGACGGACGATTGGTTTTCAGAATTTTGTGTACGAAGGTTAGGAGATGAAGGGTTCGTAGGGATGACAAGTTCAATTTGTTGGTGGTTCTAAATGCTGGAGAGATGTGGTCGAACTTCCGTATACCAAGCGCAAATCTTAAACACGAGTTCTGGATACGTTGTAATCTGGTATGATCTCGATTAATTAAGGCAGGGCCATAAATGCAGTCACAATATGCTAATTTTGACATTATTAAGCTTTCACATAAAAGGAGTTTCAAGTCGCGATTCAGAATGCTTCTATGAGGATAAAGTGTTCTTAGTGTACCATATGCAATTTTACAGAGATGATTAACATGCTTCGAATACCGCATTTCGTTGTCAATCCACAAACCAAGATTTTTTGCTTCATTTACCACAGGCAACATTTCATCATTGATCGCAAACGTACAACTTTGCATAATCATATTTCTCATCTTTTTTGGACCAAAAATCAGGACTTTAGATTTTGCAGCATTGAGTTTTAAATTATGAGCCGACGATATATCAAACAGTTTCAATAGATCGCTGTTGATTGCATCCGCGGCTTCATGGCAATCATCAACCGAAAAACTGAAATACATTTGTGTGTCGTCGGCGTACTGATGAACATTGCAGCCACCCAGGAATTCACCGAAGTCTGATATGTATATAGAGAAAAGTAGAGGACCAAGAATTGACCCCTGGGGGACCCCGAATTCACGATTCAGTACTTCAGACCGATTATTTTCGAATTCAACATATTGAGAGCGGCCCTCAAAATAACTTGCAAGAAGACAGACTGCGCTTTCACCAAAACCATAGAATTTGAGCTTTTTTACTAATATACCGTACTCCATTGTGTCAAATGCCTTACTGTAGTCCAATAGTATTAAAATTGTTATTTGTCCCCGGTCTGTTGAGGCAAGAATATCGTCAGTGATACAGGCCAATGCTGAGGTTGTACTGTGATCAGTTCTGAAACCTGACTGAGTTGGTGGGATTATATTATTTTGGAATACGAATAGAGAAATCTGTTGTTTCATAACCATTTCTAGAACTTTTGATAATATTGGCAAGATGCTGATAGGCCTGATGTCAGTATAGTCTGTTACATTCGACACCTTAGGGATGGGTAAAACTTTGGCACACTTCCAGTCTTCGGGGAATATTCCCAGTGGCTATGTCAACAAATTATAGTTATCATATGTCAGTTCGTATAGTTTTAGTTATATTATAGGGAAATGAAAATTGTGTATATCATGAAGAATGACTGAAAGAATAACTGGACTTCAGGTTACTGATGAGGATTTGATATCCAAAATGAGTTTTATTCCAGTGAAGTCATATAACCTGTTTGTGAGAGATATAATTCCCATATCACTGATATGAATGTTTTTTTTTTAAGTTCCAAGCTCATCAAGATCAGAGTTCATACAAGTATACTTCTCCTATACATTTCAATTTTCATTTCAATACTGAACATATTGGTAAGTTGTATTTTTTATATCATAATACATCATATTCGATTTGAGAGATAATGTCAATTCTCAATTTTAGAGGATTTTGATTTTTCATGCTCTCTCTTTGGATATTCAACAGATATAATTCAATGTTCGACGTAGCAAATAGCCAGGAAAGTAGTTGTTTTCTGTTGAATATTTAGAATGATATTATGTGCATATCTTTATATGAAGGAGAATGCAAATTCTCTACTTCAGAAGATTTTGTTTTCAAACTCGTATCGTGTGTGTTCAATATATATAATTCAATGTTCGTCGTGGCATATAGCCAGGAAAGTAGTTGTTTTCTGTTGAATAAACCGATAAAGAATTAATATTTTCATCACATGAAGAATGCGAATTCTCAATGAATTTCTTTAAATATATATATATATCCATTTTTTGTGTTCATAAATATATCTGAGAATATTCCTTTTCAATACTTTCACCCAATACCCAATCAAGGGGTTCAAACTTGAACAATGGAAACTATTTTTATAGATCTCAATCGCAGATTCGTGATTAAGTTTTCTCAATTCAGAATTCCTTTCCACGTCCTGTATGATGAATATCAATTCATCATACATCCAAAAACTGCAATTATTATTTATTGTTTCAATATTTTGCTTGTACAGTGTTATAATGGATATTTCCGTAAATGAAAAAATATATATATATAAGGACCCCTGCACCATTATAGCGTTCTCGGCTGAAAACCATCTTCGATTTAGAAAAAAAGTTGATAAAGATTTTCGCGAAAATAATGTATAATTTTCTTAGGCCGCGGTAGATTTTGATAACATTTTGTGCACGGAATATATGATCGTCAAGGACCCCTGCACCACTTTAGCGGCCTCGGCTTAAAACCGTCTTTAATAAATAAAATCAATTCACAGATTTTCGCAAAAATAATGTATAATTTTTTAGGCCGCGGTAGATTTTGGTAAAATTTTGTGCACGAAAATGTTCATCAACTTTTCATCTATATCGAAGATGGTTTTCAACTGAGGCCGCTATAGTGTTATAGAGGTCCATCACTATTGAATATTCCGTGAAGAACATTTTAATAAAATCTACCGCGGCCCAAGAAAATTATTTTCGCAAGAATCTCCATCAAATTTCATCTATATCGAAGGTGGTTTTCAACTGAGGCCGCTATAGTGTTATAGAGGTCCATCACTATTGAATATTCCGTGTAGAACATTTTAATAAAATCTACCGCGGCCCAAGAAAATTATTTTTGCAAGAATCTCCATCAAATTTCATCTATATCGAAGGTGGTTTTCAACTGAGGCCGCTATAGTGTTATAGAGGTCCATCACTATTGAATATTCCGTGTAGAACATTTTAATAAAATCTACCGCGGCCCAAGAAAATTATTTTTGCAAGAATCTCCATCAAATTTCATCTATATCGAAGATGATTTTCAACTGAGGCCGCTATAGTGTTATAGTTATAGAGTCCATCACTATTGAATATTCCGTGTAGAACATTTTAATAAAATCTACCGCGGCCCAAGAAAATTATTTTCGCAAGAATCGCCATCAAATTTCATCAATATCGAAGATGGTTTTCAACTGAGGCCGAAATAGTGTTATAGAGGTCCATCAATATCGAATATTCTGTAGAACATTTTAATAAAATCTACCGCGGCCCAAGAAAATTATTTTCGCAAGAATCTCCATCAAATTTCATCTATATCGAAGATGGTTTTCAACCGAGGCCGCTATAGTGTTATAGAGGTCCATCACTATTGAATATTCCGTATCATTAAAAATAAAATTAAAAAAAAAATTAATATAATTCAGCAAATGCAAAATAGGTTTATTGGTAAAATTATTCGCTGCACGCATTTATTAGTGTTCGAGCTGGTCCGAACCTGCGCAGCCGCCAGTTTCAGCGTCATTTTAATGGCACCTATTTGATTAATGTATCTTTTAAATGCACGATTGTGGTATAGGCCACCAAACATACACCGCGTCCTTTCATTGTTGGCACTACAACTCAAGGAATCTGCATCTGAAGAGAAAATATGGATTTCATCAAAGATTTCATGATAACGAGTTAGCCTTTTAACGTTTCTGAACCGATTTTAACACTCTGGCTGCCGGGACCCTGTTTTTCTCTATTTATTACAGGCTTTGCCAGTCATATTAGAGTCCCTGTATGTATAATTCCCTGTATATATTTGTCAGTTTTGTTGTAATAAGAGTACGGACACTATGACAAGCAGTGACGGAAGGCATAACCCCAAATTCTCAAAATGACTTTTAAACAAAGACATGGATATGCTTTTCCATGCACTTCTATCTTCTATCCTCTACTGCCGCGGTGAAGGGTACATCCATATATCTTTCTCTGTCTTTATTTTCATAAAGAAGTGGCGTCTCATCTCACTGGCGAAAAGGGGTCATAGTTTGTAAATCAATTTGTTGAAAGTATTTCTCGATATACTCAACAAAGGGTATATGTACTTGTTGGTTAGAATGGGGGAAATGGAATAAATGAAAGCACTCGCTTCCATTTTTGCAATTCTCCACTACACAATTAGACATTTTAATTTTTGAAAACCTGAATTTTCAAATAATTTAATGTCATGTACGTTCATGAACTGTCAGTGCCCGCCAAATTGTTCATGTCATTTCAAATTTTTTAGGGTTATGCCTTCTGTCACTGCTTGTCATAGTGTCCGTACTCTTATTACAGCAAAAGTGTCAAATACATACAGGGACTTTAAGTCATATGTAACCGACGGTGACTTTTCAGTTCGAACCGTGTCATGCGAAAACGAACGACGATGCATTCAAATCTCCATTAGATCTGAATTCGCGGCGCTCAAATGAACGTATGTGAATTTTTTGAGGCGCTCACTGTGGAATTTATACCTACAATAATGCCTCAAAAACGTGTATTGTATAAAATGTGAAAAACTCATGAACATATCTGAATCATATTATTTTTGTGTCTTCACCTCATTTTAAGCCCCCTTTCTTGTACATCATATTGTTTCACGAAATTTTTGTAACAAACTAAACAATTTTTCTAGCTTTCGGTGTTTCATCCTTTTGCTGTTACAGTAAATGTTCCACCCCTGTGAGATTATCGATAAATTAATATCTAATAGGAGTATCTCATGCACTTTTACTTATATACATTGAAAAAAATTGCCTTGTAAGGCCGCGTCGGTCGATTTTAGCTGACATCCTTTTATGCTCTTCTGTACACCAGAACGACTTCACAATGTCTGAGCAGCAATATGCTGATCACTTAGATGTCCCCTACGCTGAAAACTTCGCGTGGCTTGACGCGTTCGAACCAATGAAAAATGACTGACATGGCAGTCAGAGTGTTAATCCCTGTTTTCTAACAGGAGGAATTCATTTTCCATGCTGATTATTTTGACAAATGTCAAATGTCACTAATTTCACTGACAAGTTGACTTTCAGGGCTACTGGGTGATTGTTAGTAATTTCCAGAACAGATGAATTCATGAACCAAATTTTCTTCATTGCAGGAGAAATATAGTCAACGGACAAATTTTGTAACCCACTGGTATAAGGTCTTGCACGTTGAAATAATCGATCATTAACTGCCATACTGTTTATTCCAGCATAGTACAGTATTCTTGAATATGTTTCAATACTGTTCATTGAACTTCAAGTACTCATTAAGTACCTTTAGTACCTTTTTATTACTTTCAGTATCTTGAGTTCTAGTTTTAAAAATGTTGAGTACTTTTTTAATGCATTCAATTACTTACTAAATATTCGAATATGGTGTACACATTTTGGGTAGTTGTTACCCTCTGGCTTATCTTATCATGTTTCATTTGAACGGCAATTAGGACAGGTTCCATGATCATTTAACCACGGTTGTAAACATTCATAATGAAAAATGTGGTCACAAGAGAGAACTATCCGTTTCCCATTAAGTGGTGCCAAGCAGATACCACATTCAGGTTCATCATTATCAGGTTTCAACATCTTCCCATTTTTCTTCCTACAATAGATGTTCATTGTACTATAAAAAGTCAACACCTACACCTATTTCTCAGAGTATTGCTATACAGGGTGTTTCGTAATATGTGGGACGCACGTCGAGAGGTGATAGGGCTCAAGAAAATAAAAAAGTTCTCATAAACAAAGGTGCTTCGTTTACGAGATACAGGGTGTTAAAGTTGAAAATAAAAAATAATTTTCATTGAATTCTGAATAATTCTGGTGCATTATTTAGTCAATCAGACTCCCAGTGGCATCAGTAAGGGGTATTGATGTAGTTGTCCGAGGATGTCACATTACTCTATAACCATGATAGATATCATTCTGTAATTGTGGCACTATGCCAGTCACATAACAATACTAAATTTTGCCACCATGATAAACCATACAGGTTGGACGTGAAAAAATTCTATGAATATATTCAACTTCAACACAAACGAAGACCTTCTATGACTTCTGTTTATGGGAACATTTTTATTTTCTTGATACGCCCTATCACCTCTGGAAGTGCGTCCAACATATTACGAAACACCCTGTATATTCGGGCTTGGAGATCATAATATGTAGAGAATCATATTGTTTGATTATACTTCATTCTATATTTCATCAGAATACTAAAAATCAATGGGAGACTTAGCTCCAAGTTGCCAACTTAAAACCTCTACCATTGTAGAAGAAATATTATGGAAGTTTGATCACTCAAATGGCTTTATTTTGATGAAATCTGATTGTAGGGGTCTACTTAGCTCTCTAATAGAAGTTATTCAGAAGAAAAATTAGTTTTTGTGAACTCCACTTCTGGTTAGTTGAAAACCATGTTGTTTGGCCTGGATTCATTTTGAAAATGATGGAATTTCACATAATTCTCTAGTTTCTGAACAACAACGAAAACATGCAGTAACATCACATATTGTGCAGTGGATTAATCAAATTCCTACCACTTTCGATTATCCTGAAATGAAATCTACATATAAATTTGATCATTTATCCGAAAGACGAATGCCAGAACAATTCAATGCAGGAAAACCAACTACAGCGAGTATGAAAGATCCTATAATTCAAATGACTACGGATCACATAGATAAAATATGTCAGATTATGAAAAGTAATTGTGACAACTGTGCAGTATCAGAACGTGGAAGAAGCATATTTGAGGGTAATCCAGGGCAATGGCCGCTTTTTTATGATCAATTCGAGAGAAGTACAAGAATTTACAATATTTGTGACGAGGAAAATGTTCTACGTATTCAGAAATGTCTTCGCGGTAGAGCAAGAGAAACTGTGAGTTCTCTTTTGATTTCATCTGCCAATGTTTCCTAAATCATAGAAACACTTGAAGTTACCTTTGGCCATCCGGAGTTTATAATATGTATGTTGGTAGAAAAAGTGCGGAAAGCGTCTTCACCTAGAGAAGGGAGGTTTGAAACGTACTTACCTTTTTCAAATATTATTGAAAATCAAGTAACGAACATGGAATTGTTGAATAATGTTGGTCATATGAATAATCCCCAGTTACTTAAAATGGGATCATTGTGGAACTGCCACCATTTCTACGATTGGAATGGGCGAAAGCAGTAATTTCAAGAACAAACGTGTCACTGAAAGAATCTTCTGTATGGTTCAGAAACATCGCTTTAGCAGCCACAACATGTACATGCAAGAAGAAATGGGAAAATATATTTGCTACCCAAAAAGCCCATGAAGAGAAGCGATCGATATGCCTATGCAAGAAAACATATCACCCAGTAGAAGAATGTGATGCATTCAAAAAAATGACAGTTGATGACAGATGGACCTTCATTACATCACAAAAACTCTGTTTTTCGTGTTTGAAACCAGCTCATAGCATTTTCAAATGTAGAAAAAGACAAAAATGTGGGATAACGGGCTGTGAAAAATTCCATCATAAAATTTTACACAATCCTGAGCGAGTTTTCAACCACGACGTTCAGTCAAGACCGTCCACAGCTCCTTGTTCAGAGGATAATCAACTAGAAACGATTCACCATATCGGACAGAATGATACCAGAATTCTTCTTCGTATTGCACCTGTTCATATTAAGAATAACCAGAAGCAAATCTCGACTTACGCACTGTTTGATGAAGCGGCAACAACCACGCTAATTGATGCAAGAATCGCTGAGGAATTGGATATTCATGGACCTGTAGAGCCTTCATGTTATCAGTGGTTGAACGAAGTAACTCGAAGAGAATATCGTTTGATATATCTGGGACTGATGAAACTTCCAAAACCTTCAGAGTTATAGGAGCAAGAACGGTCAAAGACCTATGTCTACCTAGACAAACAGTTAATGTTGGAAATCTATCGGAGCTGTATCCTTACCTAAATCAAGCTACAGTATCCTCCTATGTAGATGCCCAACCAATGATACTACTTGGACAGGATCAATGTGCCTTGACGATAGCCAGAAAGTGTTATCACGGTAGTTCTTGGAACACACCTTTCATATCCAAAACACTACTTGGTTGGATTATACACGGGAGAACTCCACATCCATGAAAAACATGGACAGATCTTTGATTTTTCATTTATGCTGTAAGTCTCAACAAGAAGTGGACGACGAAATACATAACCTCGTTGAAGACACCTTCAGAACAGAAAATTTCGGTGTTCGACCCACTGAAGAGAATGGAAAATCGAAGGAAGACGAAAGAATTCTTAAAATTATGGAAAACACCATCAAACAAGTTGGAAATCACTTCGAGATATGCCTTCCATGGAAAAATGACCAAGAAATTTTACCAGACAGTAAAAATGTAGCCTTAACTCGTTTGAGGTGCATGGAGAGGAAAATGGACAAGAACCCAGACTTTGCAAAGCAGTACTGCGCAAAAATCGATGAATATCTGCAGAAGAACTACATAAGGAAAGTTGAACCGGAATATGTCGAACGTGAAAATACCAGGACATGGTACCTACCTCACTTTGGAGTTGTCAATCCCAATAAACCCGGAAAATTGAAATTAGTTTTTGACGCCGCAGCGAAATCAAATGGAATCAGTTTGAACGACCAGCTTCTTCAAGGCCCTGACATGTTGACCAATTTGACTGCAATACTGTTCAGACAGACAGACAGAAGGAAATAGTATTCTGTGGAGACATAAAAGAAATGTTCCATCAGGTGTGGATAAGAGACGAGGATTGTTCGGCTCTTTTGGAGAGGCATGGAAAGATCAAGAAATCCAGATGTTCATGAGATGAAGGTAACGACGTTCGGAGCTACATCATCACCCTGTATGGCCCAATTCGTGAAAAACCGGAATGCCAGTAACTATTCTCTCGCATATCCAAGAGCTGCCATTGTCATTATTGGCAAACACTATGTAGATGGTTATTTGGAATCCACAGATACGGAGACAGAAGCAATTGCATCGATATCACAAGTCACTTGGATTCATTCTGTCAACAGCACGTAGAGAGAGTCTTGGGGCTATGGTGGAAACCAGAAAGTGATAATTTCGCATTCTTTCTCAATTGCTATAAGGTCGATCCAGAAGTGATGAATTGTATCAAGATTCCTACCAAGAAGGAGGTTTTGAAACTAGCAATGTCCTTTTTTGATCAATTAGGGATATTATCACCCATGATAGTGAAGTTCAAAATATTTCTGCAGCAGATCTGGCGTTTAGGCATTGGATGGGGCAACACGATAACACCTGAAATGGAAACTAAATGGTTTTCTCTGATCGAAGAGTTGAAGATGATTGAGAGAATCAGCCTTGCAAGATGTTATGTACCTAAACTTTTCCAGAGCTCCTATGTGGAACTTCACGGCTTCTGCGACAGCAGTGAACAAGCTTTCAAAATGATTGTTTCTACTGCAAGAAAATGAAGGCGAAACCGACAATTCCAGAAATGGGCCAATTACCCGAGTATCGACTTAAAGAGCTTCGTGAGACCATTTACCGGCACTGGGATGGACTATTTTGGTCCTATTACAGTTACTATAGGCAGACGACACGAAAAACGATACATGGTCCTATTTACATGCATGAGCGTAAGAGCTATACACCTAGACATAGCTGCCTCATTAAATACGGACTCTGCTCTAATGGCTATCCGAAGATTTATTGGTAGAAGAGGTTGTCCTCAGGAAATTCATTCTAACAATGGATCCAATCTTTGTGCAGCAGACAAGGAGCTGAAGAATGCACTGATTGAGCTGAACAAGGATGAACTTTTCGTATTCTTCACATCAAAGGGCATTAAGTGGAAATATATACTGGCAGCTAGTCCACATATGGGAGGTACCTGGGAACGCCTAGTGAAATCTGTGAAAACAGTTCTAAAAGTTACTCTTAGAGAAAAAAGTCCTACAGACACTAGTTATAGAAGTTGAAAACATGGTGAATATCAGACCTCTGACCCATTTCTCTGCTGATCCAGCGGATCCAGAGAGCCTTACTCCAAATCATTTCCTTCTAAGTTCATCTGATGGAGCAGCCCCACTACCAGGAAAATTTAACGAGAAAGAAACAAACCCGAGGAAACGATGGAAAATATCACAAGCCTTAACAGACTTATTTTGGAGAAGATGGGTTGAGGAGTATCTTCCAACACTGAATCGAATCAACAAGTGGCACAAGAAAGTTGAAAACGTTGAAGTCAACGATGTGGTCATCGTTATTGATGACACAACACCCAGAAATGTATGGCCTTTAGGGGTGTTTCAACGAGTCTACACAGGAAAAGATGGAAATGTTCGAGTTGTTGATGTAAAAATGAGGAACGGTACATTCAGGCGGCCAGTGGCTAAAGTGTGCAAATTGTCTGGCGTCAACAGAAAAGAAGAAGAAGAAGAATAACAAAACAAGAACGAATGGTTAGTTTTATAAAACTTGTATATGTTGAAAGTATTGTAAAAAAGAAGGCTATGTGAATATACATGTCATGTTAAAAAAAAGTTATTAAAAAATAAAAGTCAAGAAGAAGAAGCTATTACAATCCACAAGGACTCACAAAGAGACTATATAGATAAAACTGGCTCAAATCGAATTAGAAATGAAAATATCATTAATTTCGGGATATAATCTGTTATAATAAATAGAAAAAACTTCACTAATCAAGATCAGATAGTTGTCTGATTTTGTAGCACTCACTTCCACCCATCTTTCACCATCTTGTCAATATAATTCAAATTCCAACTTAGAGCTTCAGAGAGAACTTTTGAAAGATTTTTTTCTTGAAACAGATGTAAAATAGCTTCCTGAATACGATCAGATAGTTGTCTGATTTTGAATCATCCATTCCAAACCTCTTCCACCCTCTCATCAATATAGTTCAGGAATTGATTTTTGCGAGATTTTTTCTTGAAACAGTTGTCAAATTGCTTCCTGCACACGATCAGATATCTGTCTGATTTTGTATCATCCATTCCACCCCTCTTTCACCCTCTTATCAATATAATTCGAATTCCAACTTGAAGAGATCATTAACTGATTTTACAAGATTTTTTCCTGGAACAGATGTCAAATAGCTGTCTAAATACGATCAGATAGTTGTCTGATTTTGTAGCATTCATTTCACCCCTATTTCACCCTCTTTTCAATATAATTCAAATTCCAAATGAGAGGTCAGGAATTGATTTTTACAAGATTTTTTCTTGAAGCAGATGCTAGAGCAGATGTCAAATGGCTTCTTGAACAGGATCAGATAGCTGTCGGATTTTGTGGCATCCATTCCACCCCTCTTTCAATCGTGAAATTTATATTTTCTTTTTGATTTGAGCGAGTTTTTATCAGTTTTATCGGATTCATTGATATTGTCTCTCTGTGGCCTGCCCCTATTGATCTCATTCATTGCTGGATGACGTCGCGTTGCTGATTTCACAGCGGTCAAAAGTGGGCAAGAATAAAAAGTAATGCAAATTGTACATTGTACCTAAATCAGAAAAAATTTATTGAAATGTGCTCACACAAATCCTTCCAAGGATTTATCAACCACTGTTTTTGTCCAGCATCATTGATATCTTAATTATGTTTCTTATGGTTGATGTTGTTAAGTAGGAGGATAATTCAGAACTTTAACAATTCTTGAGTATAATAAATATATACAGTGTGACCCACTTCTAATGGAACCACCCCTGGAGCGAGAGATATACCAAAAATGCACTCTATGACCAAGTGGGGTCATCTTCAGTGATATACACTGCTCGCCAACAGCCATGAAACCACCCCAATTTCCGGAAAATGATATTAGGAGTCAAAATAGGTTGAAAATCACGTCGGATTCGGAATCAGGACGCCCAAGTTACTAACTATTCAAAGTTTTCCTAGAAGATTTTCAGTTCAGAAAAATAAAATTTTGTCTCACTTCTCATGGAAGAACCCCCGTATCTCACGTAATTATTGAGGTAGGGTTCTGAAATTTGCCGGAGGAAGAGAAAGTCCAAAGATAGAGTCAATTACGTGAGATACGGGGGTTGCTTCCATAAAAAATGCGACAAAATTTTATTTTTCCGAACTGAATATTTTCCAGGAAAAATTTGAATAGTTAGTAAATTGGGCGTCCTGATTAAATATATATATATATATATTATCAGTTTGGTGCAAGGGTAATGCATTATAATTTTTTTTGTCATTCTTTGTAGTTATAGGTTATTTAATGTTGAATGCCTGTGAATTGTTTTATACAACTGTTTAATACAAAGATTTGATGAAAATCTAATAAAAATATTCCCATTCTATCATCATTATCATACTCAGATAAAATTGTAATGACTTTCCATGCTCTCATTCAGTCAGTCTGTAGGTATATGATAATAGTATGGGGACACTCCACTCATGCATTCAAAGTATTTGGCATCCAAAGAATAGCAGTGCTTGTACTTAGTAACTTGGGATGCTGTGCTGATGTCAAACAAAAATTTAGATGTCAAACAAAAATTTATTGATCTCAAGATCTTGACCATTCTGTCAAGGAACATATATGAATGCATTGTCTATATGTGAGAAAATATTAGTCAGTACAAAACTCATGGCAACATACATAATCATTATACAAGAAAATGAGACAATATTAGAATGAACAATCTTAGAATCAATAAATCTAGAAATGCTTCACTCTATTATGCTCCAGAATTTTATAATAAACAACCACACCATATAAAGGATTTCACAATAAATGAACTCAAAATTGTATTGAAAGATCACTTGATTAAGAAATCCTTCTACAGCTATGATGAATTCCTTAACAACAGAATTGAGATGTAATCTCGGATGTAATGTATTTTTTGGAATGCTATAGGACATTGAGATTTTTAATTAGTTATTATTTGTTGTTATTGTGTGACACCTATTTTTATCTATTTTATAAGTATATTTCTGTGTAAAATTTAATGTTTATCAACACCAAATAAAATATTCTATTCTATTCTATTCAACCCAAACTAACCCATTAGTGAAACAAAAATTGATTGGAAAAAAAATTGAAAACTTTTCCATGTGGGTTTTGAACATGGGACCACAGGATTGACAAGCCAATGTCTAACCTCTGAGCAACTAACTAACTAACCATCTTGGGTCTTTTTGTAATACAGAGAGAATGTATTCCACTGAGAAAAAGTATAGTCTGCTGACTGGTCAGCATCCCAAAAAAAAAAGTATAGACTGCAGACCCAGAAAGAATGTACAACACTGAATAATGGTCAGCAGCAGCAGTCTAGAGAAAAATTATAGCTTGCTGACTGGTCTGCAGCCCATACAGTTTCTAAGGAATATTGGATATGAAAGTTCTGAAGTTAGTCTGATCACAGATTAACAAAACCATTTGAGGCTACTAACGGTCATCATGTTAGAGATGGAATTCACATAAAACTAATTTTTTTTTCAGAATAACTTCTATTAGAAAGCTGAGTAGACTCCTGCAAAGATTATATGATAATAAAAGCCATTTCAGCTGTATTCTAATTCATAATGTTGCTTCTACTGACATTAGTAGAGGTTTTTGGCAACTTGGAAGGAAGTCTCCTATTGAAAATTATGAAGGTTTTTTCTAGCTCACCATGGATAGTAGATTTTACATTATACTGGTTGCATACTTACTTATCCTCATCATCAGGCACTGTTGAGGCAACTTTCCGACTAACTCTCTGAATCACTCTTGGACTTGCTCTCTGATTAATAATTCTAGTTGCATTGTAATCAAAATGATGATTTCGATTTGAGTGCCCATAATTTGTGTTTTGCTGATTATTTGACCAGACACCATAAGCAACTGTTCCTACTGCTATAACTAGCATAATTCCAAAAGTAAAAGGATTGATGAGTGGTATAGGCATATTGTAACAATTTTATTCCAAAAGTTTACAAAACCTCCTCACTTCAGTCACCTATTTCTATTTGTCACTTTATCAAATTTTGAAATTTATGCTCACACCTGAAAGTTCTGATTTTACTTTGAGATGGTTTTATTGCTTGTTTCCATTCAACATTTTTCTTTACTAACTTGGTCTTTACTATGCTGATTGCTGAATGCTCTTGTCTTGAGCTTTCACTGGCTTTCAGCTCTTTGTCTTTCTGCTGGGGTTTACAGAGTTTCAGGTTTTTACTTACCTTCAATAAAGTTCACGCAGGTTGGCCACCAGTGTTGTTCTTGTCATTACTTTTGTAATAGATATATTTGTTATACGATATTACGATTTGTTATGAATCTATAACTATTTGCTGTAAGCACCAAAATATGATGTTTCGTTACTAAAAAATCTATTTCTGTGTTCAGCGGATAATTATGTTCTGCTCTATATGGGTCTTTGATGGGTCTATGGTCTATGTTCTGTATTTATGTCATGAGCTCTGTGTGACTTCTGCCTCATTCCTGTCAGAACTGTCAATGAACTCAATTGCTACTCGTGCGATAGGATTTGACAAGAATGACATTCAGACAGTCTATTACCTATTGATACAAATCTGTTACCTTTTTCCAAGGAAATCTATTACGAAAAAATCAGACCCAGGAACAACCCTGTTGGCCACTGTGATCAAAAATAAAAATAAAATAATAACAAGAATACAAGAAACACTGTACTGTTGAAAATATAAGCTCTCTCATTTTTCATGTTTCTACATTTTTTTCTCTCCTTATGTGAAGTGTAGATAGTGTAGAAAAATGAAAAAATAAAAATGTTGTAACAGGACGATGATCTTATTTTTTAGATTATTTTCTAGTTTTCTTTGATCCACTGACTACTGAGGAGAGGATCTTTCTTTGACTTTTGCACAGTGTTGCCAACTCAACATACAAAACCCATATACGTATAAATAACTATATGGATAACAAGATCTCATAGTTGATGCCAGAAATAAAAACAAAAGATAGTCCCCGGGGATTAATAGACTTATGCGCATGCGTCAATTCGAAATTAGAAACGACATGAGTTTGACGATTGCTATACGAATTTGATGCCCTCTTCAGTAAACGTATGATCATTATTGAAAATCGACAGAATTTAGTACATAACCTGAAATTCAATGTTTATATTTTGATATCTGAATCCATTCTGAATCTGAAGCCTCAGACAAGAAATCATGACCGAGACTTCACTGGAATTCATATTTGCGAAGTTTTGGTGGATCTGAGGAAGCAAACAGCTTCAATTCGCGGTTTTGGAACGAGTTTGCTGAAGTTTTTTATTGTCTCAGAATACTTCCAATAATGGCCAACAAGTGCAAGACATTATAAACATACAAATGTACAGCTTCCCAACATAATATGCAAAATTATACGAAGTGTGGCAGAACATTACAAAAATTGGGAAGCCCATTTACAAATATATGTGCCTGTCTGTAGCAGATACTTATTCTCAGAAACAGATTATGAAGGTAATTTCTTTCATTTTGAGAAAAATATCTTTACAGTGTTCTATGTAATGTGCTTTTCTTTCAAGTTTCAAGGGATTCCAAATACAATTGCAGAAGTTGGTACATTTTCTGTGATGCAGATTACATACCTCCACAGAATTCACCAATTACAATGCATCAAAATGTAAAACCTGTGATCAATGGATATGAATGGGAAAGAGGAAGGTCACATACATAAAAAAATAGAATATGACTCTAATCCTTCTTCAGCTAAATCAACCAAATCATCCTCAGTAAGAGGATCAAATGAATCTGATAATGACAAAGATGCTGGAAGGATAGAACTTGCTTACCAGAGTGCTGATGCAACTTCCACCAGGACTGATCTTGTGAAAGTGGCTATGATGTTTCCATAGAAAAGACAAGTGCAATTTCAGTAGCCAATCTAATGAATTTTTTTTTCACTTTTTCTGTTATAATAAAAAATGTAATGAGTACCTACTCAATTTTGCTTTATTTCAACATATAAACCAGAATATGATTAACACTGTGAATAATTTAAAGCTTCTAATTCTATACAAGGAATAAGAATAAAATGATTATGAAATATCTCCATTATTCTCAATCTCAAGACCATGCTCAAGTGTGATTCTGATAGTAATGGAATCTTTTCAAATGTTGTTCTTCCTGCTTCATTGTAGAAATATAATTATGTAGGGCAGTTGATTTGTTATCTGGAAAATGAATATCAGTTACCTATTTATGGAAGTTAGATATTATATAAGACTTACAATTCACCAAGAATTCAGAATTATTCTTTTTCACCAACAGCATGATTAATTTTGTAGGAACAGTTTCTTCAATCTTTGTCTTCCTTTGATTGTAAAAGCTAGTTACATCACATCTATACCTGACTTTCTTCACCACTTGCTTGGGTGTGAGCTTCACAACTGAATTCTTCCAGTTCTGCAGTTCTTTATGACTACCTAAAAATGTAGTTGACATTTCAGTAAGCAAAAGGATCAATGGAGCATAATTGACTTCATGAGGCTTCAGCATACACAAACCAAGAGTTTCAAATCAGCAGAAGTTTCATCAGCTCAAAGATCTCAAGTTTCTGTATACTTTTCACTTCAACAAAACATTATTTTTTGCTTTGTATACCTGTTCGTCTTCCACCATCGGCCGATTTTCAAAAGCACTCAAATCGCTGAAATTTCGAAATAAAAATGATTGGAATCAAATGTGGAATGTGGCTCTCATTGTTTTCCCCATTCCACTGACAGCTTTGACATCAATATCAATGCTTTGATGTACTTTTTCTGCTATCTGAAACATTTTCGCGGATGAATATTATTTTCAGAGGCATCGGAAAGAAACTTCAACAACATAATAATATATAAATAAAATTTAAATGAAATTCATCCTCCATTTTGACTCGTGAATTTGACAAATTTCGCGCATGCGCAAATAGGTATTTGCACCCGCAGACTGTCATTTGTTTCCTCAAAACTGGCTTCACTTTTGACCATTGGAAACATAGGATGTTATCCGTATATATTTAGTAGGTATATGACAAATCCACCAAATCCAATGCAAGAATCCAATGGGCACGAATTCAATCTGACCTGAAATGAAGAGACAGAACGCAACAAATAATCCGTGCAGAAACAAGTTTACAGAAAAGATCATCGCTCACGGCCGAACCTGTAAAAAATATCATAGAGATAGCGAATCACTATCGGCCCCAATAGTGAATGCCTCGACAGTATTTTTTCGAGTAATCATATCGAAAAAAAAGTATCCTCACCACACGGATTATTTGCTGCTAGGCACACCGAATGCTCTCTGGATCCGACAATGTCCGATCATCGTCGGATATGGTCGAAGGACCATTCGCCGCTGATGCAGAGTAGAGTCGTTGATTGATATATTACGCTGTAGAGTCACTGGATGGTATTAGCACAGTTTATCAAACTAATGACTCTAATGCAGAGTATAGTCCCTATTGTCTAATGTATTGTCTAATGTATATACAGGGATGCAGAGCACGCGCCAAGTTTAAAACTACTAGGTAGTAATTCATAGGTATTAAAAGTGATCGAGTGTAATATTTGGAAATATTATGCAAGTGGAGGAACAAATTAGAAATCGAATAATTTCTCAAGTTTTGTAGTACTGTTCGTGAAATTCAGAAGAAACTATAAAGATTTAGTATTATCAGACTTTGCAGAAAGTCCATGATCGTATAGATATTTAGAAATATTGAACTAAATATTATGAGGAATATCATACCTAAAACAGGTATGCCTGGAGCCCATATATGTACTATACATATATATGCTAGAGCCCAAAAAGGTACAGGGTACGGACAGATCCTCGTCTCCTCTCACTCTAAAGTGTTTGTGAAACAGTTATATAAATCCATCTTTATTCATTTCTGGGGATAAACACTAGATTTTTGGCATTTGCTGTTTTTTAGGTTATATTGAGGTCACTGGCGTATCATACGTAATTTCCATATGGAATTCCTGATTCAACTATACCAAAATATAGATGAACAATCCTCTAGTTTTAGAGTTTACTATACTCCAGCATAATTTTTGAGAGGTAGCTGAGGGAACATATGAATTTTACTGAAAGCTCAATATATTTCATCAAAAGAGACTGCTCTTAGACTGTATACAAGGATTGACTGAATTGACTGAATGAATTCTGATTTCAAACTGAGCAGTATTTTATCTATGAGCTGAATGAGCTGACCGTTATGATTGATGAATGGTGAAAACCTTGATGTGAATATCTAAACTACTGCACTCATGTAATGTGTGCTAAATATATTTTCGGAAATCCAACTCGAAGAATTTATGGAGTGACTAATATTAACTATGTATAAAACTTCGTCTAGGACGAAAAGTAGGCTGATGAAAAGTAATACGTAAAATGTGCAGGGAAATGAAGAATAGAATATACTTCACTCCCATGTTATACATATGATTCTTCCGTCTTCCTTAAATAAAAAGTTATTTTCGAATAATTTATTGATGAAAGTAACAAACAAGTAGGTATAGGCAGTATAACTTATAGGCACGTTATTTTCACTCTTGCATCCTACATATTTTCTATTTGTGATAGAGTAGTAATTATATAAACTAATGTCTTTCGTCATATTGGATCCGTCGTCATCTTGGATTTTCTAATTTTGACGAAACAATCATTATCTCTCACTTCGAAAACCCTCAGATATCAATTTTGAATAGAATCGGATCTTCATCACAAAACTTGTTCACCATATGATCTTCCTCAACAATTTAATACCCTGTACAGGCTGTACATACCTATTATTAAAATTTCCAATGATTTTCTGTAGGGCATGGATGTGACGTGACAGCAATGTCAGGGATGCCAGTAGACAAAACTAAAGTCTCTAGATCATCAAAAAAGAATGCAGATTGCAGCTATGATCTGTCCGTACCCTGTTAAGATGACTTTAATTTCAATTTCCATCAAGGGACCCTAGTGGCACCCAAAAAAACTCCGAATGTTGGCCTAGACTGATGATTCTCAGGGATTAAAAGAGCATTCCTCTTTCATTCTTGGTGTTGCTTTTTGGGATGATCTTCCTGAAGGTATATGGTAATCTAAGTTTGAATACGTTGCTTGAACCATCAGGCTCACTTGAAACAGTTTTCAACTATCAATACTACTCCTACCCTAACTAGCTAGGCAACAACAATGAAGACTAAACATACCTTTAAAATTATGGTAAGTGATCCTTTCTGAATATATGTCCTCTCCTGATAAGTTGCCATAATGTAGTGCTATTGATCATCACTCTATATATAGTGTCTTCCACAATCATTGACACAAACTTCAACACTAGAATTAACACCAGTATCCTAATGGTGGAATTCAGGCTGAAATTGAAGATCATCAGAAAAGTGTACATGTAAAATCATATTCTTACCGATGCCTTCCAAAATGAAATTCGACCATTC